GTATATGTATATATATATATATATCTATATCTATATCTATCCTTGTATCTATCCTTGTTCATACGCCTCTCCCTCTCTATCCTTTTCCCACGCACCCAGGGTGTGGCCACATACGACCGGGCCATACTTATCAACAACGCTGGCAGCCTTGGCCGATGTAATCAGACTGTGAGTGAACACTCCACCGACACTTCATACGTCAGTGACTATGTGCAATTGAATGTAACCTCCTGCGTTTGCTTGACCTCTGGGTTTGTGCGTACGTTCAAGCCTGCAGCGACCAAGGTGTGTGTGCGACTGGTGTGGGCGTTGGGGCGGGGTGCCGGAAATGGACCGGCCCTTTTTTTTCAGGGCAGAGTAGTATAGGTTGTGTGGAGTGGGTGGATGGCTTGATCCCCGGTGGAAGTCGGGCTAGTCCTGGTGCAAGATGAGATGAGATGTCTTTGTGTGTGCGAGTTAGTGTATGTTGCTATGATAGGTATATGAGGTGAGCGTATGGGCTCTAACTAAGTTAGAGGTCAATGGTGAGTATTGGGAGGAGGGTGTTGCTGCATCTCCGGGTGTGTTGCAGATGTGTACGTACATGCGTGTCTGTTTTCACGGTATCGACATGTCTGCTGTCTCCCATATACCGTAAACCAACCCAACAAGCAATAACATCACTACCGTGCTAATGATGTATGATAGGCATGGTACACTCTAACCTATAGTGCTGATTTCGAATGATGTTTGGCTTTGCCTCTCTCCGCAGGTGTTCGTGGTCAATGTCACGTCATTGTTTGGTATCCAGGCAACCGGTCACTACGGGCTGTATGGTATGTCGAGAGCTGCGCGGGAAATGTACCACAATGTACTGGCCAAAGAGGAGGGTGATGATTCTAATGGTATGTTGTTAAGAGCTGTATATATACACACACACGCTCAGCAGTACGCATACATGTATCATAAGTATGCATACATATATCAGTAGTACGCTTACATATATTATATGCGTGTATACATATATTACAAGCACGCAAATATGTTTTAAGCACGTCTATATGTATATCATTAGTATGCATACATACATTGTATGTTCGTATACAAACAATATAAGCACGTAAATATATATCATTAGTACGCATACATACACTATGAGTACGCATGCATATATTCTAAGTACGCATATATATATATATCATTAGTATGCATACATACATTATATGTTCGTATATTAATAAAATAAGCACGTATATATATATATATATTATTAGTACGCATACATACACTATGAGTACGGATGCATATATTGTAAGTACGCATATATATATATATATCATTAATATGCATACATACTTTATATGTTCGTATACTTATATTACAGGTACGTATAATCATTAGCGCACGTACATCTGTCGTTAGCACACGTACATAGATCATAAAGTACTCATGGTATTATCATAAGTAACCATACTGCTATCGTAAGTATACATACACATAGCTACGCTGCTGAGCTATTGTGCTGGCCAGTCATTTCCTATGTCAGTGCTTCAGGCCTATGCTTCGTTCGCGTGCTTCCATCTAAAACCCTAAAACCCTAACCCAAAAACATAGTCGCTTTGTGCACTACCCGTGTTTGCACGTATTTTGCATTGCAGTGTGCATGCGTTGTATGTTGTATAT